CAAGAAGTGCCAGAAAAATAGGCTTAGGAATTAGCTATGTTCCATTTGGGGTCTTTCAGCAAAATTAAGGCAGAACTGGAAGATGGTTCATATTACCAGTAATTTGTGCCTGACTGAATATGGTTTGGACTGTGAAGCCCTATTCAGGCACCCCCCGGGGGTGGGGGAGGGTGGGTCCTGTCCCCTGGGACTGAATTAGCATTGTGCATTTGTTACTGGATCAAATGCACAAACAGCATTAGGAGCCAGCACCCAGGCTTGGTATCATCCCTCTCAGGGCAGTGCCCAACTCGCTGGGCTACAGAGTCAGCTGTCGTCTTGCCTGCTTGTGTTCCAGGCTCACGGTTCTTGAGCTCTTGACCATCCAGTGGGGCAGCTGCAATAGGAGGGGTTGGAGGGTGCCCTTAGCCTTGTCTAGCCTGTGGCTTGGTGGAGAAGTGGGAATCATGGGTTTAAATCACCCTCAAGCTGTGAAAGGCCTACAATCCATGCCTCTCTCTTCCCACTTGAGCAGAGGGTGGGATCACCCTCTTCCTCCACCTTCCTGCCTAGACATGGTTTCACAAAGCCACGGCTTTAGGTGATCAGGTTCAGGTTGGGGGTTTCAGTCTGTAAATCCCACATGAACAGACATACCTAACTTAGGGCAGCAAGGGACAGCATGGAGACCTTGGATGCATACATTATGTTTGGGTCTTTCGTAGGTCTGCTTCTGGGTACAAATGCCATGATTTTAAATGAGACAACACACAGTATCACCACACTGAGGCACCTTATTCAATCTGGGCTGTAAACAAGCATAGCACTACCAAGCCTGTAAGTATGATGCTGGTTTTTTCTCCAAAGCTGGAGTACCCTGCATTTCTCTATGTTGCATGCCATCAGGTTTAGGTCTGCTCACTTTGCAAGTGTGTCCAGGTCAGCCTATATCCCCAGCCTGTCCTCCAGTGTAATTGCCTTCCCCCATAGTTTAGTGTCATCCACAAACTCTGCCAGTCCACATATGACACCCGAATCCAGGTCATTAATGAAGATATTGAACAGTACCAGCCTGAGCACTGAGCCCTGAGGCACTCCACTGGTAACCTTGCACCATGCTGGTTTGTTCCCATCAACTGGTCCAACCCTGGAGCCAGTTCTCCAGCCGTCAGACCGTGAGATGGTTGAGGCCACTGTTCCCCAGCCTGGTCATGAGGACATCATAGGAGACCAAATCAAAGGGTTTCTTGAAGTCCAGATAAATGACAACCTCATCTCCCTTGTTCAGGTAATGCATCACTTGGTTATAGGAGATGAGGTTGGTCAGGCAAGACCTTCCAGTAATAAAACCATGTTGGCTGGCATTCAGTAGGTTGCCTTCTGTTAGCCTGTTGTAGATGGATCCCTTCATAATTTTCTCCAAGATCTTTCCAGGTATGGACATCAGACTGATAATTCCCTGGATCTTCTTTCTTCCCTTTCTTGAAGTTTGGGACCACACTGGCTCTTTTCCAGTCTTCCGGTACATCACCCAAGCACCGTGAGATTTCACATATCTTGGCCATAAGGCATGCTATGATGTCTGCCAGCTCTTTTAAGACTCTCGGGTGTAATCTGTCCAGGCCCGAGGACTTATGGATATCAAGACTCTCTCACTTGATCTACATCAATTGTGGACCCATCTCCTGAGCCCTAGTTGCTTTGTGTCTTGTCTGACAGAGTGACCACCATGGGCAGGTGGAAAACTCGCAGGGGGCCAATGTTGTCTTTGTTCTTCCTCCAACTTCCCACATATCTGATGAACAACTTTTTGTCATCCTTGATTCTGGTGGCTAGCCTGAATTTGGCTGCTGCCTTGGCTTTTCTGGACTGCTCCCTAGAGGTACATGCTGTGTTGAGTAGTCTTCCTTGGTGATGATTCCAGTTTTCCATCTGGTTTAAGCTTCTCTTTTTTGTTTCAGAAGACCCAGAAGTTCCCTATTGAGTGAAGGGGGCTTCTCTGTCCTCTGACTGCATTTCCCGTGGGATGGGGTGGATTTGCCTTGCGCTTTGAGGGTTGAGTTCTTGAGGAACAACCATTCCTCATTGACTCCCCTTCCCAGTGCCTGACTGACCAGCAATGTTCCCTCTAAGGCTTAGTGATCCGTAAGCGTGCCGCTTTGGTCTGTTCCCGAATTGGTCTTGCCTCCCCATTTCGGTGCGCTGAACAAATTATTCTCACAACATTATTTGGGAGAAAAGAGTCTTGAAATACTAAACTATACATATTGTGGCGGGTGCAGAGATCCCACCTCAGGAACACAGCTGGGTATTCGTATCCCTCTGCTGTTTCCACCACGTGAGGCAGGCCAGTAGGGGGTGCTCCTGCGTTGAGCCACCCATCTCCCTGCGCCCGACCACCTTCCAGGCTCCGAATGCCTCCCTAGGGGCGCCTTATGTCCGGCCGACCCCTCTCCCGGAGCACACTCGCTAGTCTGGGGGTAACGTACCGCCACCACCCCAAGAATGGACTGTCCTGTGGCCCTGTGTCCTTGGGGTAACACAGGCCTAAAGTCCCACAGGTACTCAACCCAGTATAGGCACTTGGGGTACTTCCCCAAGTCCGGGGGCAAAAAGGAAAGTTTCCCTTAGTCCACAGACCTAAGGGGTCTCTTAGGCATAATTTAGACCCACCCCTCAATAA